TCATCGATCTTAAAGTGTCTGGGAAGTATGAAACAATGCTAGTTTTAAAATACGTAGAATTGTATAATAAAAACATTCCGTAAGTTTTACAGTCAGATTCGCAACGATAACGGAGATATTCCGGGTTAAAGTAGGCGGTTCTCGCACCTGTCTAAAACCAATCAACGCTACTTCCGGTTTTACCATAAATAGCGAAAAACCCCGCATGACGTCACATCACATCAAGTTCAAAATGGCGAGTACAAACAACAACAGCGAAGCCTCCGATTCTGCGTCCGATATCGACCTACATATGTCGTTTGAGGCCTCATCCTTCGAAGAACAAGAAGAACATTTCCAGAATGTAGCCCCTTATCGATTTGAACCTGAGGCGAGTGATTCTAGTGAATCTGATGGCTCAAGTGAGGACGATGTCGACAACCCACAGCGGCTCGGCAATACGGACTGGTATGACTTTCACGTTAAAACTCTCTGGTATAATACAAAGAAAAATATATATTTTATACTCATAGAATTTCGCATGGTCTGAACTAATAATAATTAATAAAAATATTACTATATAAGCCAAATGTTGCGAGAAATGAGGCCATGCATGTAAATTACACCCATGCAACATGGCTGAATATTCGTTCGGGACGACCATTTGAATCTTATGGGCTAGCAGATTTAGATCTATTCTTGAAAATTGTCTCAATGAGAAGGAAATAATTAATCTGATCTTGAAAAGTGGTATATACACGCCCAAAGAGTTTACTACTTCTTTGTAGCTTGTCAACTTTTCTGGTCTCTATAGTCATGGAGTTTGGACATGTTTTTTTTTTCTGCGATGGCAGAAAATTAAGATGACAACTAAATTTGTCAGAACCTCTAACTCTGAGAATAAAATTTTGCCCCTTTACAGGCCCGTAGGAAGCAATTTCAGTTGGGGGGGGGCACAGCTGAACATTTTCAGTTGGGGGGAGGCACTATCAACTACCAAAATTCCTTGACAAGCAAAAAAAAAGGTCATCAGACGTTTTCATTGAGGGGGCACAAGCAACAAGCATATAGTAGCTATGTTTTCTATAGTAATCTAGATATCGGCAAAATTATTTGAGGGGGACAACCCCCCCTTCCTACGGCCATGCTTTATACCTGATGATAAGTTGAAAACAAAAACTGTATTGCTCTATGCACATTATCTACATGTATGGGACTTCTGGAGTATTTTTTTTTAAAGATTAAAGTTGATAAATAATCATTATGTCTAATGCATCTTCGTAAGCCAAGGGTTTTCGGTCTGCTTCGCGGGGAGAAAAGTGGACCGAAAACCCTTGGCTTGCGAAGATGTGTCTAATATAACTTCCATGTAATCATGTTTGAATATTGTAGGTGCACTTGTGGATTCTGTACTCCGAAACCCACACTCAGAGAAAGTATATGCTGCACTGAAATCACCAGGATTGATGAAAAGAGAACATCTTATCAGAAAGAATTGCCTTGCATTACAGAACACCCTGGATTCCAATCTGTTTGTCTCGACATCTACGTCTTGGAGACAGCCTATTATCAGTATCGTTCCCAGTATGGGGAATTGCAAAAGACCATTGAACAGTAAGACATTTTATTGAATTTTTACATATTTGTTCCAAAAATGAAATAAAGCATTTGAAGAAAATCACAAAGACTATCACAAGTAATAACAAGTGCATGATAACATGATTTTCTTTTATTCAATTACAGAAGAAACAGATATACAGCATATCGTCAGCTTGTTCGTTGGTGTTGGGGCTACTTGGGGAAGAGTGTTCGTGTCCCACTTCCCTCTTGTGCAGTTACAAAGATACACCATTCCTTCAGTTCTGAAGAGTATCAAGGATTCAGAGACCCTGAATGAGTAAGCCACTTCTATATTTTGGATTAACAAAAATTCACCATATTATCAACTTTTACTATCAATTTTACAAATTAAATAAATATAAAGTTTACACAGCATAAATCTTATAAATGAGAAATGGTTAAGCATAGGATACAGAAAACAACCTTGCCTAGTCACACATACAAGCAAAAAGCAGTTCAAAATAATTGACAAAACATAAGCCTCATGTACGTATTACAATAAAATTTATAAAAGCATCAGCTACAAAAAAAATCTTGATTACATAGGTAAACAATTTTTTTTGCACCCAGGAACGGGACGTGGACCCTGCTTTTTTTGTTCCCATTTTTTTTTTTTTTTTTGCAATTTTATTTTTGTTTTCCTACATGCAAATTTACAAGTAAATGCTAACTATAACACTATTTATACAATTATTTACAAACAGACTATGACAAACTACAGCATGAGTATCCAAAACTGATATTTACAGTTCTATGTATACAAGGGCTAGAATCTCCTACACAGATGTCTCCTTCCTCCCAAACCGAGACTGGAAATTAAACACTGCTTCCTCCTTTTCAGGGTGAAGAAAATCACTGCACAGAGGAGGTGGTTGCAACTGAGGCAAACAGAGCGCAGGTGGAAAGGCGGGTGCTGGTGTCCGGGATGATACCTCAACGTATCGTAGAGTCTCTGTCATCAAATCAGATGCATACCCTGAAATGCATAGACAATATTTAAAATTTGTAAAATATTGAGGACTCTATCTCTGTTGATGAATACAAGTATCATTCTCGTGTTTTGCTTGGTATTGAATAAAATTAAATTCAACATATTTTGTTATTTATATATACATTTTTTTTTTGGTTGTTCAATTTTTAAATGAGGAGGGACTTTTACAATTTTTTTTTTTTTTAAAGGTGCGTTAATAAAAGCATCTTACCAAACGTTGAATCTACAGTCTTCATGCGAACACTATATTCGCCATGCTTGAACTTGGGAAAGCTGATCTTGTACTGCAGGTTTCCCTCCTTTGTAACTGCCTGCATTCTTGAAGAGTTCTCATTAAAATGGAGAGCAGCAACCATCAACCTACATAAAATTTTTAACCTTGTAGATTACAATAAATAAAATCTCCATCTGCTTTCTGTATTGTAGAAATTTAAATAAGAAATGATATAAAAAAATATCCAATATTACTGTGTAAGCATACCTGCAGTACATGCCATGATAAGAGAAGGAAACCATCTTGGGGGCAAAGTGATTGATAGTGCTATGGAAAGCCTCAATCTGGGATGTTTGGTGCAGTGGGGACAGCTTGGGTATATCTTTCTTCATCTGATTGGACAGGATAATATCGCAAATCTTCTCACTGGCTTTCGTTCCTTTATGAAAACAAAATGTATACTTATTGTACAGGATTTTTCCCTTTAACAAGGCAGTTATGAAATTTGCCAATAAAGAAAGTAATAATTATTTATCAATTCTAAAATAAGGTTTTACCTGGTTTTATCCACTTCTTTTTCTGCTCATCACCCTCTAACGTGTCATGGGCACAAGATGGGAAGAGGTCATTGTGGCCCTCATGAATATTGTGGATATGGTTTTCCACAGACTCCCACTTTGCCCACATGAAGTCCCCATTCCCATCAGGTGTTGAAGCTGCCACCCAGTACAAGTGGTTGGTCAAGCTCTTGATCCATTTGGCAAGATTCTCACACTCCTTCTGTTTGGATGCAGCTAGGATCTTTTTCTTTAGACCTGAAAATATTTTGGAAGCCATGTTTACAGAGTAAAATTAATATGTCCCATCTTAAGATGGGCATATAAAAATCATAATTTAACTGCTTCATTTCATCTTTTACATTCATAACTTTTTAAATCATACATGTAAATAATAACTTTGGAGATAACTCAGTAGAAGTCATTATAAAAGTTAAACATCAGCTAATGTTGATTCTGTACAAAGATGTCTTTAAATACATACAATTCAAATACTGGTAAAGAAAGAAAAGAAAAAGAATACCTTTTGCCACATGCCAAACATCATAATAGTGTGTCGTCTCCGTCAAGTTCTCCCTGATCCACTTTTGTATCTGGATATGGCGGTCAGTCACTATCGTACCAATCTCCAAATCTTGGTCTTTCATCCAGGCAATAGTCCGCTCTAATCCCTTCTTCTCCATTCCCAAGCTGTTTTTTACTTCATTGCTCTACAAAATTTAATCAGATTTCATTAACTTCACAAAACTTCAACCAAACACCTAAAGTTAGTACACATTTTTTCCCCTCATTAGATCCTTTTTAGCATTTTATTTTCATGTATACTTTGTTGAATCTTTTCAGCAGTGTTTGAGTGATTGTTTTATTTAAAATAATGATAAAATAATATATTTTTTTTTAAAACAGTTCATCTTTAATTTAAATAAAAAGTGCAGATATTTATCGAAATAACTTGTTTACCTGAACCAGCTGGATATCAATGACAATTCCTTCCTCAAGGTCAATGGTGCTGTACGAGCCAAACTTTGCACAGTGACCAGGGGAGTCAGCTCGCCCATCTCCACCAATAACCAGAGGATCTCCTCTTTCCAAAGCTCGACTTGCATACTCCTGCTGGTGCTTGTCCCACACACGAGCAATTACAGGAAACAAAATGGCTGACTGGTGGGAATTGAATGTTCTTCTGGTAATGGTTGCAACCCCCATGCAGTTCAGCACACGAAGAACTTTGGACACAAGGGCACCAGAAAACAGTATGGCGGCAGATAACCCAATGTTCCCAACAGGAATATTCCCAATGAATGGCTGACTGCTCCACTGCCAGGTAAACCCACAGAACTCACACTCCACAGCAATCTTCACCATTGTTCCAAGCACCTGCTGTACACTTGCTGCTGTATACTTGTGGCACCTCCTGCAGTTACTGAACAGCTCAAGCAGCTTGGTTTCGGAGATGATAAACTTCCTGTCTTCCAAGGGGTTGCAGGGTGCTTCAGTGCTACAATTTTTAAAAGATTAAATTAATTACAGGGAAATAAAAATTGCCAAAAGAATTGAGGCTAACATATTCATTTTCTCTTCATAGTAAACTTTTTGAAGCAATTCTTAGGTAACTGATCAATGACCATAGCCTAATCACTTACTTGGTATCCTGTACATGAGAATCATCTGAACTAGTGCCAGAAGGTTCATACAATGAGGCAGTCTCATTCTCCGTCTGGATAGACTCTTCACCACTAGAGGAATCAGGAACAGGAACAGGTGCTGGAGGTGGACGTGGAGCAGGCAAATCATCTCGTACATCAACCTGAATACCAATGCTTCGAACTCTGGGTTGTAGGTCAACTTGTAATCCTAACAAATTACATATAAACATTATATGTCATTGTGAGAAAACAAGATTTTTCTCTTAAAATTTATATTTAGGAGGAAGAACAATGATCTAATTAGTCTTATGCATATGAACTTGCAATTTTTTAAAATTGAATACTACACACAAATTAGGTACTGATAAGTTAAATGTTTTCCTCTCTTTTCAAAATTTAAAAAGAAATGGTGAAAGGGGGTATATAAACGATACTACATAATATAATTCAGTTATAATAATCATCAATGAGTAAATATGTAATAATCCCTGAATGTATGTCTTTCAATACCAGCTTAGGGGTCATAGTCCATAAATGTACATGTTCTAATATAATAAATGTTTTTTAAAAAAAAGCCAAACTAGCCATGGGGAATCAGATTGAGAGTACCAGGTATATTGCAGTAATAATCAAAGAATAAAGAATGACAATTACAACATATTATTATCTTATGTTGCAACAAGTTACTTCGAATAAGTACCTTTTTCCTTATTCCTTGCAGCAACTTGAATCTTTACGCTACGTTTTCGTGTTGATTCTGTCTGACATGCCATAGACACACTTTTCTCCTCCTAAAATGAACAGAAAAAAGATTAATAAGTAATCCGTAGAAGTATAATTGTGGCCTGCATACTTTACAGCAATATTTTTATCTCTTTTCTTTAATAATACTCGTATGAATAGTACAATTTTTTCTTCCTTTCACTAAATTTAGAACAAGTGCAAGTTTCTGTTTTATTTCATAATAGTTTACTCATACACATATGGACTTATTTGCATAGAGTCTAGTATTGTGGACATGTTAAGCAGGAAATTTAGATTTGGTTATTACTTATTTAGGGTCAAGTAATTTAAATTCAGAAGAACACAGCGATGAAGAATGTAATAACCATCTCTTTTAATCTTATATCTGAACTGAATAAATCTTCATGATATTGTGAATAATGCACAAGATGCATGATAACATCATTTATATTTAACAAAATAATCATTGAACTTTTTCTTAAACGAGGCAAGCTGACAAATTTATACTACATTTTTTATTTCGTATATTTTTGTTGACCTAATCAATCTGTGCAGAGTTATCTTAATTATGCCCAAACAAAAGTCATAGGAGATGTCAATTTAAATAAACATATCTCTTACTACACATCGGATCCTCACCAATCTATCCTTGTTTAATACGCAATACAGTAATAACCAACTTATCAGTTGTAAAAATCATTCTTACATTCATGGTCCTCATGGGACTTAGAACCGAAAGTTGAATAGCAAGTTGAATACCGATCCCAATCGGAATCAAGATGAAGAATTTAACAGAAAAGAAATTGAGACAGAATTAGATGAGAATCTAGGATTTTTTTTTTTAAATAATGGCCTAAAAAAAGATAAATAAAAGATGCATCAGCATGTGGAATAAGAAGAGAAAATTTAATAAAATCATTCTTTCTTTTCAGTTGGTTTAGTACTACATATATTGTGTAAACATAATTATATAAAGCTAAGGTGCAAGGAATGTAACAATTTACACATTTCTCTCTATTTTTTTTTTTTTTTTTTTTTTTGGTTCTTAAATATGTTATAACATACCGAAACAGGTGTGGGAAAGGGAACAGGCGTTGTTTGGATCCCAACACATTCATCCTGGTCTTGCGACTCTTCCTGTATTTCTTCAACCTCTGTGTTGTCATGAAGCAGCTCTGCCAATACCTGCGATAAAATAATGAACAAATTTTAACACAAACAAATAATATAAATTTGAATAAGTTTAAGATATTTCAGTGAATACCCAGTGAAATTTACTTTCTGTTTAACAAACAAAGAACATGAAAGCATTTTTAGTGCAGATGAGGTCTTTTTTCTTATTCCGAATTTTCTCACCAAAAGTCTACAAATTTCTGAAGTTAATATTTTTTTATTATCGAATCACCACCATTTATAGATTAAAACAAAATAGAATAGAACAAAAAAAACTAACCCTATTCCTCTCACGCTTTGCATGGGCTCCTCGTACTGGAGTAGGGGTGTTTACATGGTAGATATGGCAAGAAATTAGCCCTGACTTTCAAGTATGTTCATTTGTAACCCTGTTACAGGACTATTAATCCAGTTACGAAGGTAACATAAATCCTAAAATGAGATGCAGTTAATTTATAACCCATCAGGGGGTCTTCTTTTCTGTGGTTACATGGGTTACAACTATATTTCTTTGGTGACATTTCTTTGGTGACAATGGTTACAAAGCAAAAGAAGTCCAGCAGGGGGTCTTATTTTCAGTGGTTACACGGGTTACAACTATATTTCTTTGGTGACAATGGTTACAAAGCAAAAGAAGTCCAGCAGGGGGGCTTATTTTCAGTGGTTACACGGGTTACAACTATATTTCTTTGGTGACAATGGTTACAAAGCAAAAGAAGTCCAGCAGGGGGGCTTATTTTCAGTGGTTACACGGGTTACAACTATATTTCTTTGGTGACAATGGTTACAAAGCAAAAGAAGTCCAGCAGGGGGGCTTATTTTCAGTGGTTACACGGGTTACAACTATATTTCTTTGGTGACAATGGTTACAAAGCAAAAGAAGGCTAGCAGGGGGTCTTCTTTTCTGTGGTTACACGGGTTACAACTATATTTCTTTGGTGACAATGGTTACAAAGCAAAAGAAGTCCAGCAGGGGGTCTTATTTTCAGTGGTTACACGGGTTACAACTATATTTCTTTGGTGACAATGGTTACAAAGCAAAAGAAGTCCAGCAGGGGGTCTTATTTTCAGTGGTTACACGGGTTACAACTATATTTCTTTGGTGACAATGGTTACAAAGCAAAAGAAGGCTAGCAGGGGGTCTTATTTTCAGTGGTTACATGGGTTACAACTATATTTCTTTGGTACTAATGGTTACAAAGCAAAAGAAGGCTAGCAGGGGGTCTTCTTTTCTGTGGTTACACGGGTTACAACTATATTTCTTTGGTGACAATGGTTACAAAGCAAAAGAAGGCTAGCAGGGGGTCTTATTTTCACTGGTTACACGGGTTACAACTATATTTCTTTGGTACTAATGGTTACAAAGCAAAAGAAGGCTAGCAGGGGGTCTTCTTTTCTGTGGTTACACGGGTTACAACTATATTTCTTTGGTGACAATGGTTACAAAGCAAAAGAAGGCTAGCAGGGGGTCTTATTTTCTGTGGTTACACAGGTTACAACTATATTTCTTTGGTGACAATGGTTACAAAGCAAAGGAAGGCTAGCAGGGGGTCATATATTCTGCGGTTACACGGATACAACTATATTTCTTTGGTGACAATGGTTACAAAGCAAAGGAATGCTAGCAGGGGGTCTTGTTTTCATATATGTGACTGAACTGAAAAATCACAACTGGAGATTTGAAATTTTTCTGCTGGAGTTTGGGTCTCAAAGCTGGAGATTTTTTATCGACATTTTTTCAAATCGCAAAAGACCATCCAACCCCCAAAATTCAGGAAAAAATACCTTCTCCTAGTTTATTACTTTACAAATTTTATTTTATAAAGTTGTTGTTTAGTTTTAAGAAAAATATGATAAAGTTTTTATTCAAATGAAGTGAAATTTAGTATTCAAAATGAAATCAACTCATTTCCTAGTAAATTATTTAAGAGTTAAGGTCAAGATCTAGTAAATGAAAGGTGCCTACGATTTCTCAATTTTGAGAAATAAATTCCTTTAATGATGCTTTATAACTTTAGCTTGGTCAAATAAGATGTTTCGGGGCATAATTTGTAGATGAACAAGACAAAAAATCATATTTTGAACTGTCATTTTCAATGAAAAATTAAGAAAACCAGACATGAATACGGGAGTTTTTTCCATATCAAACGAAGGAAATGTATCCACATTGCTTACAGTCTCTTAGAAAACGATAATTTGTATGTTCTTGGCATCTTCTTTAAAATAATATTAAATTGAACATAGGTATCGGGGTTACTTTTCACATGATTTCAAAATGAATTCCATGAAAATACTTTATTTTCTACATAATTCTATTAGAGCTGTAAAGTACGGGAAAAAGAAAGTTAAAATTGATTATGACGTCATAATGGATCTAGCACCAAAAAGTTAGTCTAAAGTCATTTACTAGATCTTGACCTTAACAGCATCATTAAAACATTGGATAAAATTTTATTTTTGATTTAGTATTGATATATCAACCAGTAAGTGAAGTAAAACATAGCTAGGTTTTATGTTACAAATTCTATGTTGGTAATTTGTTTTTAAATAGAATACCGGTATGTACAGATGAAAAAAGTACCCTCTAAAATAATAAACAAATTAGAGTCAGGTATATTTTAGCAACACCCTGTAGTGTGATCTATTTTTAACTAGAGTGTGACCTACATTATAACTGTATCTTTTAATGACCAAAGCAGCATTAGAAGATGGCAACTGTGTATTTAAGCAACTAATTACAATGTTTTGCATTCAGTAATAAACATCAATGGTCTTTTATCAGGTTGATATATCACTAATTTTTACAGTTTTCTGTGGTTACATGGGTTACAACTATATTTCTTTGGTGACAATGGTTACAAAGCAAAAGAAGTCTAGCAGGGGGTCTAATCTTCTCTGTGGTTACACGGGTTACAACTATATTTTGAGGGTTTCTTTTCCATTTCATGAAAACCAAAATGAATGAATTGCATTATTACATCATAATTTTTAGCGTATGGTGATTATTTAATATACCAGCAATGCTGAATCATATTGTAAACCAAATTTAAATTCTTTTTGAATGGTTTTGTTCCAAATTTTTATCTATAATTAATGAATTTCTGTCCATACTTTGAAGATCATTGTTTTCCTAATACAATACTAGCAACTTCTAAATCTGATTAAAAAACAATTTTATTGTATAAATAATAAATTATTAAAACATAGTACATTGTAACACACAACAGTCCATCAAGAGCTGTTCCTGCAAGGGGGACAAAACCACTCCTTATCTCCAAGGGCCCTGAATTTGTGTAACGGCATTGTGCATTTCTGGTGGTGCCAGGCATCACACCCATCACAGCACACCCAGTTCATTCCTCCTCTTCCGACCTTTTTACACGTTCCACATGTTATCTGTAATCAAAATATGGAAATATAAATTACTAAATTCAAATTTCATGAATATGTGTGAGAGAAAACAGACAAGTCACTCCTATCTAGCAAAAATAAACACTATGCAGAAATATAAAAGAAAATTTCAATTCTTTAGTTCTAAATCATTCTTTAAGATAGTTTGCATAATGTTTCATTAATGTTTAAATGGAAGAATACCTTGCTTTCTGCTCTTTTTGGACGTGGAAAAGGAGCAGGGGTTGTGGGTATGCTGTGAATCCTTCCTCTAAGGCCCTTGGAGGTTGGTGCCATTGTTTTGTAATTGGGTACTGTTGAGGAAATCTCTTGGCTGGGTTCTGAGGATATGGACTCCTCCTCCAGGGAAACAGGGGATGCTGATGGTCGTACTCTTTCTTTGCTTTTCATTGTCTCATCAGACTTGGCATGGGGTTCATGTGAGGACCTCTGCTGGCTGGGCTCCAAGGATATGGACGACTCGGCCAGGGAAACAGGGGATGCTGATGGTCGCACTCTTTCTTTGCTTTTCGTTGTCTCATCGGACTTGGCATGGAGTTCAGGTGTGGATCTCTGCTGGCTGGGCTCCGAGGATATGGACGGCTCAGGCAGGGAAACAGGGGATGCTGATGGTCGTACTCTTTCTTTGCTTTTCGTTGTCTCATCGGACTTGGCATGGAGTTCAGGTGTGGAGCTCTGCTGGCTGGGCTCTGAGGATATGGACGGCTCAGGCAGGGAAACAGGGGATGCTGATGGTCGCACTCTTTCTTTGCTTTTCGTTGTCTCATTGGACTTGGCATGGAGTTCAGGTGTGGAGCTCTGCTGGCTGGGCTCTGAGGATATGGACGGCTCAGGCAGGGAAACAGGGGATGCTGATGGTCGCACTCTTTCTTTGCTTTTCGTTGTCTCATCGGACTTGGCATGGAGTTCAGGTGTGGAGCTCTGCTGGCTGGGCTCCGAGGATATGGACGGCTCAGGCAGGGAAACAGGGGATGCTGATGGTCGCACTCTTTCTTTGCTTTTCGTTGTCTCATCGGACTTGGCATGGAGTTCAGGTGTGGATCTCTGCTGGCTGGGCTCCGAGGATATGGACGACTCGGCCAGGGAAACAGGGGATGCTGATGGTCGCACTCTTTCTTTGCTTTTCGTTGTCTCATCGGACTTGGCATGGAGTTCAGGTGTGGAGCTCTGCTGGCTGGGCTCCGAGGATATGGACGGCTCAGGCAGGGAAACAGGGGATGCTGATGGTCGCACTCTTTCTTTGCTTTTCGTTGTCTCATCGGACTTGGCATGGAGTTCAGGTGTGGAGCTCTGTTGGCTGGGCTCCGAGGATATGGACGACTCGGCCAGGGAAACAGGGGATGCTGATGGTCGCACTCTTTCCTTGCTTTTCGTTGTCTCATCGGACTTGGCATGGGGTTCATGTGAGGACCTCTGTTGGCTGGGCTCCGAGGATATGGACGGCTCAGGCAGGGAAACAGGGGATGCTGATGGTCGCACTCTTTCTTTGCTTTTCGTTGTCTCATCGGACTTGGCATGGAGTTCATGTGAGGACCTCTGCTGGCTGGGCTCCAAGGATATGGATGACTCGGGCAGGGAAACAGGGGATGCTGATCTACTTGAACCACTACTGTCTGTCCCAGGCGAACTTGGACAACTTTCCTCCACTTCATCTGTGAAAATACATAAACAAATGTCAGTTCATGCCCATATTATACCATTTTTTTTTCAAGTATACATTCCTCACTTACTATTATATTTAAACCTTAATTTCATAACACTTTTCATTTATCAAGTTTATAATTTAACTAGGATTCAAACATCCTGAGGTATTTTTTGGGCCCCTACAGCTGGGTTTATGATTAGAACAAATTCGAATCTGCATTATTTATTTGTTGTTTGAATAACGATCGTGTATCATTGCTAATTTAAGTTGTTCTTCAGAAGATTTTTAATGCAATTTCTTTCCATGTACGTGTAATTGCTTCTTCTGTTATAAACCCACAAAACTCTTGCCTGATGCTAATTGAGAAGATTTTTAAATGACATCACCAATATTTCACTTTTTCTAAAATATCTCCCTTTGTTTAAACAAACATTAATCTGTGTGTTTATTCGACCAAATGGTTCT